ATGTAAAAGCCATTTTATTGCCAAATTGAGATGTTGTATTCATATGACCAGTAAGACACAAAAGTACATCGTTGTTTTAGATTTCACTACAGATGACGCAATGTGTATCAGTAGATTCATTATGATTCAAGTCGTAACCAGTGTGTATTTAGTATGACTTGTCCTGCAGATTTAAGTTTCTTCTTTTTCTGTCTCACTCTGTCATCTCTGTAATAAGGAGTATATACTTGGATTATTTACCATGATTATTGTCCTGTCAGACAGCAATAGGTTCACTAACGATCCCATCCTCTGCTTCTTTTAATGCCTCCTTCCCTTGGATTGGCTATGGGATTGTGCGCAGCAGGTAAAGAGGTTTCAGAAAGCAAATACCAAGAAGAAGTAAGTGAGATTGTAACAAGGGAGACCTCGGAAACTGTTTCCACTGCCGTCCATGTACACACAACAGAGGAGAGGATTGAAACTGTTGAAACAGAACACGTGTCCGAGACATATGTCGAGAAAGAGGCACTTGAAGACACAGATATTATTACCAAAGAAAAGATTATTGTCACGGAAACAGAAAGAATTATTGATGATGACATTTCAGAACCTGATGAAACTGAGGAGGGCAGAGCCGAATCTCCAACCAAAACTATCGAAGATGATACATTACCTATTCAAAAAAACACCTGATGAACAGGAGGACATTCCTGATGAAAGTATATCAGAAACCAAAGAGGATTCATTCGAATTCCAAAGGGACCAGAAAACTGTTTATGACTCTGAAGAACATATTTTATCAGAGGAAACAACAAAAGAGGTTTACACAGAGGACCACAGAGAAGTTTTTGTTTCTGTTCAAAGGGACCAAGTTACTGAACAGGAGGAAGTGCATGAGGTGATTGAGGAGAGGGAAGTGATAGCACAGGATGAAAAAGAACTTTCTAAGGATGATGAAAAAGAACCAATAAAGGAGGAGGTTGAACAAGAACATTTGGAGGGAGTTGAAGTGGCAGAGAGAGGGCAGGAAGGAGATGATGCAAAAGAAGTATCTCAACCGGTGAAATCAGAGGAATATGTGGAAGAATTTGCACCAGCAGTGGAGCAAATAGAGGAAAGAGAGGAAGAGGTTGTGAAGGATATTGCACAACAGGAATCTGAAATAGTAACTACAGCTGCAGTTATTAGTTTCGATGAGCAGGAAGAAACATTCCAGGAAGCAGAGGTTGAAGTTAGTTCAGTTTCCAAGGATGACAAAGTTGTGGAGCAGTTTGAGGAAGAAGAGTTCAAAGACACCTTTGTAGAATCAGAAATTACTTTTACTGATAAAGAGCCAGCTGAGGAACAAGTAGAAATCAAGGAGATTGACAAGATAGACACTGACACAAGAACAGTTGAAAAAGATGAATATGCTGAAAGTGAAGAAATTGAAGAATTTCAACAGGCCGAAACTGAATTGGTTGTGAAACATCAGGAGAAACAAGAATATGAGGAACAGGTAAAAGATGTGAAAGTTGAGGAACAAGCTGAAGATAGTGAAATATTTGAACATGCTCAAACTGATTTTGTTGAAAGTCAAGAAATTGAACAGGAAGAGTTGAAACATGTAGAGACAGATGTCCAGGAAGAACAGATCCAGTTTGAGGATTCTCAGCAAAAACTTGCTACTGAAGAAGTGAGTAAAGAAGTTTATGACAAAGTTGAAGACCATGTCCAAGATACCTTTGAGAAGGTTGTGGAAGAAGAGATTGTGTCTATAGATAAGCAAGAAGAGAAAATGGCATCGGAGCAAGAGGTTGAGGAAATCTTTGAACAGGCAGTGGAAGAAGATGTTGTATCTAAGCAACTGCAAAGCCAAGAAGAGACTCAGCGGGAAGAAGAAACATTCCAGGAAACAGTTACAAAAACTGTGCTAGCCGAGAAAATCTGTGAAGAGACAGTTGATGTGACAGAAACTGTTGTAGACAAAGAAACTGAATTTGTAACTGTTGAGAAGGTGGAAGAAACAATTACTGAGGAATATACAATAACTGAAACTGACACATCAGAGGTACAACTTAAACAGGAGACTGCTGAAATATATGCAAGGGATGAGCCTGAGGATGAAGTAGTTGAGCAAGCTCCAGAAGAAACTGAGATTCTAGAAGAAGAGAAAATTGTTGAAGAAGAACTTGAACAACATGTAATTGAGCCGGTGTCATCAGAACGAGTAGAGGTAATTGATGTTTTGGAAGTAAAGGATGATGTTGATGCTGTAATCGTCAAAGAAGAGGAAAGCGAATCAGAAACTGAAGAAGCTGAGGCACCATCTGATACCCAGGAACTAATGTTTGTTGACAAAGCGACCGAGGAGGTCGAGGTAGTAGAACAAGAAATGATTCATGAATCTGAAATGGAACCCGCACAAGTAACTATTGAATCCACTGAAGAAACAACAACTCATTTAGTTGAAACTGAACATGCCGATGCACAGGATGCTATGATAACATCTGTTGAGCAGGAAACTGCCACAACTGTGGTCGAGGAGACATATGAAAAGGCAGTAGCTGAAACTGTTGATCAAGGAGTTCATGAACTGTCAGAATCTTTCACTGAAACCATTGATGAACGGGAAGCTCCTGCTGTGGTAGCGGAGGAAAGATTTGAGGAGGCAATGCCAGAAACCCTTGCTTCAGAAGGAGAAGAGGAAGAAATAGCAGAATCAGTAGAACTTGAAAAGACAGAAAGCATTGCTCCTGTTGAAGAGGAACATCCAAGAGAAGTAACCAAGGAAACATTCCCAGAGCAGAAAGCCCACAAAGAAGTAGATGGGGAGGTGGAGGAAACTGTCCCTGTTGAAAAAGTGGAGGAAGAGGAAGAAACACAAGAAGCTTTTATGGATACAGTTGAACATGAGAAGGCAGAGAGCATTGCATCTGTTGAAGAGGAACATCCAAGAGAAGTAACCAAGGAAACATTCCCAGAGCAGAAAGCCCACAAAGAAGTAGATGGGGAGGTGGAGGAAACTGTCCCTGTTGAAAAAAGTGGAGGAAGAGGAAGAAACACAAGAAGCTTTTGTGGATACAGTTGAACATGAGAAGGCAGAGAGCATTGCATCTGTTGAAGAGGAACATCCAAGAGAAGTAACCAAGGAAACATTCCCAGAGCAGAAAGCCCACAAAGAAGTAGATGGGGAGGTGGAGGAAACTGTCCCTGTTGAAAAAGTGGAGGAAGAGGAAGAAACACAAGAAGCTTTTGTGGATACAGTTGAACATGAGAAGGCAGAGAGCATTGCATCTGTTGAAGAGGAACATCCAAGAGAAGTAACCAAGGAAACATTTTGATGGGGAGGTGGAGGAAACTGTCCCTGTTGAACAGTGGAGGAAGAGGAAGAAACACAAGAAGCTTTTGTGGATACAGTTGAACATGAGAAGGCAGAGAGCATTGCATCTGTTGAAGAGGAACATCCAAGAGAAGTAACCAAGGAAACATTCCCAGAGCAGAAAGCCCACAAAGAAGTAGATGGGGAGGTGGAGGAAACTGTCCCTGTTGAAAAAGTGGAGGAAGAGGAAGAAACACAAGAAGCTTTTGTGGATACAGTTGAACATGAGAAGGCAGAGAGCATTGCATCTGTTGAAGAGGAACATCCAAGAGAGGAACAGGAAGTCCTCAAACAAGAAGTTGAGGTGGTGGAGGAAGCTGTCCCTGCTGAAACAGTGGAGGAAGAAGTACCAGAATCTCTAACAGAAAAGCATGTTGCTTCAGAAAGAGAAGAGGAAGAACTGCAAGAAGCTTTTGTGGATACAGTACAACATGAGAAGACAGAGAGCATTGCTTCTGTTGAAGAGGAACAGGACACCCACAAAGAAGAATTTGAGGAGGTGGTGGAGGAACTTGTCCGTGCTGAAATAGTTGAAGAAGTACCAGAATCTTTCATGGACAAAATTGAAGAAGATAAGGTAGACCAAGAGGAAGCTCGCACAGAAACTGTTGCTGATGAAAGAGCAGAGGAAAGGGAAGAAGTACCAGAGGCTGTGATGGATACTGTGGAACATGAGAAGGCAGAGAGCATTGCCTCTGTAGAAGAGGAACATCCAAGAGAAGTAATTGATGAAACATTTGAAATGTTGAAATCAGAAACAGTTACTGCTGGAAAAGTTGATGAAGATGAGGAACCTGAAGATGAAAGAGAAATTGTGCAGGAAAGGCTGATAGAAACTCAAATCACAGAGACAGTGGCATCTGAGAGAATTGTAGAGTATGAGGAAACAACAGGCATGCATGAGGTTAGCAAAGAAGAAGTCACTGAGTCTGAAACTGTTTCAGATGTCCATGTGTTTGAGGTAGTTTCTGCAGAGCAGCATGTTGAGGTTACTGAATATAGCGAAGTTGTTGAGGAGTCACTAGCTGATCAAGTTGAAACAGTTCATGCTAAAACTGAGGAAACAACTGACATGCAAGATGCTGTGTTGCAGTCTGTCACTGAGCAGCAATTTGCAGAGCCAGTGTCTGAAATTACACGACAATCCCCCGAAGAAGTGATTGAGGAAACCTTTCAGGACACTTCTATTGAACCAGTAGCTGCTGAGAAAATGGAAGAGGAAGAAGAACCAACAGAGTCCAAGGAAGTTGTTGAGGATATAATTCAGATCCAAACCACAGAGACGGTCTCCTCAGCTGTTCATTATGAAGAACATACTTTCACAGAAGATACAGTATTTTCACCAATGACTGATGTGGATCAAGTCATGGGAAAAGAGGAAATATCTGAGCAGGAGGAGAAAGACAAAACACCAGCTCTATTGGAGCTAAAAACAACTGAAGTGGAAGAACTTGAAATGTTTGAGGAGGAAGACAAGTTACAAGAGACTGTTGATGAAAAGGACACTGAACAGATACAACAAATTACTGACGAATCACCTGCTGTTGAACATGTAGAAGAAGAGCTACAAGAAGACAGCTTTGAAGCCAAACCAGATGAAGTACAGTCACCTCAACAAGATGAACCATCTGTTGATAAGCAGTCTGATCTTGATAGGGAAGAACCTGAACTTCAACAAGATGATGAAGAGCGTGGAGAGGAAGAAGAAGCTGTTGCGGCTGTGCTCATTCCTGAAGATGAAGGTTATGATGAACTCATGGAAGAAAAGGTGGACGAACAACCTGTTGATGTTCAAGATGATGAAGGTTTGGTTGTAGTTGATGATTATATCGAGCATGAGCCAACAGAGCAAATACAAACTGATGAAGGTGCAGAATATGATGAAGATCAACTTGAAGTGGATGAAAGTGATAGATTCAAGGAAATGGAAATACCAGAGAGGGATGTAGAAGTCACAGAGACAGTTGAAACTTTCACAAGTGTGGCTGTTAGCTCAGAGAGAACACATGAGTATGAAGAGACAGAAATGTCAGAATCCTATGAAAAAATTGAAACCATTAAGTCAGAAGAAATAGTTGATGGACAAAGTATTGTTGACAGTGTAACACCTCTAGAAGAACAAGTATGTGAGGAAAAAGAAGAGGCTAAAGATGAGGATCAGGAAACCTTTGAGAAACTAGATGTAAGTCCAGAACCTGAAAGGAAGGAAGAGGTAGAGGGTTCTGATGAGGAAATGCTTGTAGACACAGCTGAAAAAGAAACAAAACCCATAGTTTCCGATGTATGTGAGCCACAGGAAGTAGAAAAACTTTCTTTAGCACCAACTGAGTATGTACAAGCTGAAAAGGAAATTCTTTTGAGCGAGCATGAAAGTGAGAGCGAAGATGAAGCATGGGAGATGTTGGAGAAAGATGAACTCTCACAGGAGGAACTCATGGCAGCCAGTGATGAAATGCTGATGCAAGTTTCTGTTGAAGAGGTGAAAGAAGAACCTGAAGCTTCTGTAAAGGAACCAGAGTCAACTGTTCTTCCTGAAGAGGCAGTCGTACCAACTGAAGCCACTCAGGTAGACTTAGTGGTCAAAACTGAACATTTTGAACACATCACAGAAACAACTGTAGAATCCCAAATTATTGAAGAAACACCAATAACTGCTAAGGAAGAAATATCCGATGAAGAGCTTGTGGAAAGCGAGCGGCTTTCACCTGTGAAAACAGAGAAACCAGAGGGTGTGCAGACAGGAGAACCAGTTCAAGAACCAAAACAGGCTGATAATTTGAAAGATGCTGGATCAGCCCTTGACATTTCTGAAGTTGAAATTGTAACTGTTGAGGATAATACATCATACCAGAATAGAATTGACCAAGGCATAGTTGATCAGGCATCATTTGAAATGGAAGGAGAACCTGTTGAAGTTGATTTTAAGAGTGGATCTTCTGAGCTATCAGACGAAGACCTCAAAGAGAGAAAACTTTCTGCAAGTGAATTTGCTCAGTCTCAAGGAGTTGCAGAGGAGCAACAAGAACCAAGTCAAATCCAGGTGCACCAAGAGCAGATTGTGATGGAAGAGCCACAGGAAGTGACTGATTTACAGCAAGCTGAAGATGAGGATATTGATGAAGAATTTGCTGAAACTGAGGAACCGGAGTTAGAAAAGTTGGCTGAAACTGAGGATGCTGATGAATTCTCAGACTCTCCATCTTTTGAAGGACCAATTGAGCAAGGGTACAGAGAATCAGCATCTCCTGAATTGGAACATGCACAAGTTGAGGAAACCTTTGAACAAGAACGTGAACTGACACCTGAAGAACCTGTCAAACAACCCCTTGATGAGGAACAAGTAGTCCTGACTGATGAATCTGAGAGACCACATAGACCAGAGCCTCAAGAAACTGACCGCCTAGTGTCAGAGACACCAGAACAGATGGGAAAGGCAACTCCATCTGAACTTGAACCTCCAACTGAAGACGAACCAAAATCAGAAAAAGAAGATCAACAACTGGATGAGAAAGACATTGAGTCTCCTGTGATTAGAGATCAAGATGAACAGGAAGAAGAGCTACCCGAAACACAAGACAAAGACAAACATGATGATCATGTAGAAAAAGAGAGGATGTCCTCGTCAGAGGATGAGGGTTCAGTAGAGGTGAAAGTTGAAATATTTCCTGAAAAGGCTGCATCAGAAATGAAGCAAGACATGGATGGAATTGAAAATGAACTGAAAAAAGAAAGTTTTGTTGAAAAGTCATCTGTGATAGAATTTTCTGAAATGCGCTCTGAAACAGTGCAGCACGTAGAAGTACATACCTCTGAGACTGTTAAAAGTGAAATATCTGAATTTGATTCTTTGAAACATTGGGATGAAGTCACCCAAAAGGAAGGAAAGTATGACCTCGCAGCAAGTGATCCTATGACAGAATCATTTTATGAATCTTCCATAGATCAGTCCTACACAGAAAAAGAAGAAATCCTGATTGACACCTCCTCAACATTAATCAAATCCGACCTGGACATAGACACTACAGAAACTTCAACTCTTGTAAAATCTGAACTAGACCTTGATACTACAGAAACTAGACCAGAGCCAGAAGAACTTGAATTGAAAGAGGATAAGGATGTTGAACCTACTTGTGCTGAAGCAGAGCTAATCACAACATCCCTGGAGTCTATGGATGAACGGGAACGAGCTGAATCTATTGAAACAGAATCGGTTGATTCTCAGCAACAGGTAGAGCAAAGGGAGGAATTCATCGCTGCTGCTGAACAAGCAATTCCTGTTGAAGCAGTCCCCTGGACAACAGGTGACATGCAAGCCGTGGAATCTGATGAAGACTTTTCAGATGAAGAAGACCTTGGAGCTAGCAGAGAACCCACCTCAGACTCAGACACTATTCCAGATGATGCAAAGTTTGATGATGAAGATGTTAGCCCAAGTAAACTGGAAGAGACAGTTGTGTATGAAGAACAAGTCCTGGACAAAAAGGAAGAAATTATACAGCAAGATGTTCAACTCAAAGAGGAGGGAATAGTTGAACAATCTCAAACTGTCAAGGAAACTTCATTTGAAAGTTTCTCATTCACACAAACAGAAACAGTTGTTGAACATGCAACAAGCTACTTTTCTGATGAAGAAATCAAACCAATTGAAGCTATGCCAGACAAGGCACCTGAAGAAAAAGACATTGAAGATGATTACCTACCTGATGAAACTGACTTCAAAGATGAGGATGGTCAGTCAGAACCTGCTGAAGAAGAATTCTTTGTTCCATCTAAGCAAACACATGATTTTGCTGCAGTGACTTCCTTTGAGTCATCAATGACAACTTCCATTTATGAACCATCTGACTTAGATGATGCCCAAGAGCCAGAGGTGGCAGAGTCTGATCAGTTTGTAGACCGTAGAGAGGAATTTACAGAAGAGGTTCGAACATCCACTGAATTCAAAACTGAAACACTTATTAGTTTTGATGATGAACCTGATTTTGACAGAGAAGAAGACAAATTAGTATCATTTGAAGAGACATTTATTGATAGAAAAGAATCCTTCCTAGAGGAAACACTAGAAACAATAGTCAGTGATTCTTCCCAAAGAGAAAGTGGTGGTACCTCCATAGACATTGTTGGAGCAGGAGGTGAATCTCTTATATCAGACCAAACTGCTGACAAAGCCCCCTCTTCCGAAAAGTCTCCTACTCAAGGACAAGAGACTGACAGACCTTCCAGCCCACAAGATGGCATCTATCTTGCCCTCCATGCCCCACTCCTTCCATCCTCCTCCACTGAGGTGCAAGATAGGTCAGGCACACCTAGTGACATTGAACCTGATGAACTTGATACAGTGCAGGAAAAAACAGTTGTACATTCTGACGGTTATGAACGAGCAGTGTCTCCACTAGAATTTTCATATGAAGCTAGACATCCTTTTGAAGAATCTGACATCACAGGAGCTTCAGCCGATGATGAAATGGAACCAGAAGGCAGAATTACTGCTGACACATCCCAACAGATATTCATTGAACAATCTATCGAATCAAGGAAACCACCAAAGGTTGGAGGGTTCTCATCTGGAGAAGATGATGAAGATCGTCCTCCCTCTCCCTCTGAATTTACCCTTGTACAGTCACATGATCAGGACATGTTAATGAAAGCTCTTGGAATAGATCAGACAATTGATGAAGATAGGTCATCAGAAGAAGCCACTGATTCAGAATCAGAAAGTGAAGATGATGAGGACAGACCTCCATCTCCCACTGAGTTTACACTTGTTGCTTCTCAAGACCAAGACACTCTCAGTAAAGCTCTAGTGGATGAATCTGAACCCGACTACGCTCTCCAGGAGGAACATCTTATCTATATCCAAGGTAGATAGTTTGACCTTTTAACTTCTGTCAATGCTATAGGATAACTGCTTTCTGACCACAGTATATAATTCTTTTCAATGTTATCCTCTTATGTATATATTTCAATGTTGAAAGTAAACTGTAATATTTTAACAATACTAACATTGTTCTAGTTTGGAGATTGTCTTTAAAAAACTTATATATTCATTAGTTCCCCTTCTAAAAAAAACTAATAAGACTTGAGATAACTTATTTCCATAACACAATAACATGTCCAAGCAGTGTTGAAAAAGGGAAATGTGCATTCACTATTCAATCTCAGATGCCGATATGCCACCCAAAATTGGCTTTGGAGATGACTTCATGAGAGATCCTCTTAGTGATGGATTTACAACTGGAACAAGTAGTGCTGAAGCCCCTGATGCAAGTGAACAATCCTCCAGCGAACAGGCCCAGAAAGAAACTCTGGACCAGTCAGTGGAAAACAACACCATGTCAACTCTGAGTTCTGAACTCAATGAACAACCAGCTTTGGAACCTACTGCCCCACCAATGTCCTCTTTTGAAGAAACTTCAGAGGAAGTCACGGTCATGACATCAAGTTATGAGAGACTCTATCAAGGAATAAACATTGAAACAACAACAACACACTCTGAACAAATATTGGATATTGGTGACCACTTTGACACCAAACAACCAGACCTTCACTTCCAACCAGCTGGTCACTCCTCCAGCTATGAGCAGCTGTATCAGCAGGAGAAGACTACCGGCCCCGAAGGTGAGTCATTGTGGCCGCCAGCAACCCGTGGCATGTCTGCTTCCTTCATTTGAGCTGCATGATGTTGTTTCTGCCTTTTTCATTCATCATCGCATTCCAATACATCCCAGTATTACATCACTTGGAGTTTGGGAGCACATGATCCATATAGAGCGATATATTCTGTAGAAAGAATGAAGAATGAGCATTTTTGCACCAGGAAGAGAGACGGTATGCAAAGTGCACTTTGTGAGGTTTGATTGTGTAGAATGAGAGAACAATCATACCAAGGATGAATCAATCGAACTACTTTACACCCATTTGGAATGTCGCTTTGCATGCCTCTGCTACAAGTCATAAGGATTCAACTGCCTTTGTGTGCAGTCCTAGCCATTCCACACCTGCTTCTCTTCCAGTTTCTTCTGTATTACAACCCTAGCCTTATTTTCAACAACAACCTTTTGCCTTTGTACAGTTAAACTCTACTCTTTGCTGAATACTGATTTAGTTACAACTTAATTATTGCACTGTTTAATTTGCATTTCTCTTTGCAGGACATGCATGTTGATGGAATTATTTGGTCCATTTTGTGTCCGAGTAGATTTTGGAATGCTTATGCACTAGTAAGTGGATGTTGTCTGAGTACTGTGGTATGTGTATCGTAGATCATATATTGGTATGCTCTAATACGAATTCATGAAGAGTTTATTTTCATCAGAGATCCCAGTCGTCAAGACTGAGCAAGAAGAAAAGCTCAGTTCATCGAGTTCGGAAGTTGCCCAACTTGACGACGTTCGTGATCAAGGTATTCATGTCTAAGATAACCAAATTTTGTAACCCTCTTATTCCAATATTTTCTATATTTTTGTTTTAGTGCTTTGACACTTTTCACTCAAATCTATCTATGTTCATGTATTTTTTTCCCACAAGATATATATCGATCTTTTCCAGGTTTATTTCATTGCATGTAGTTTTTCTGTGCCTGAGATACTTTTGAGTTGCATAACAGTATGTTTATTTTAATGGACAAATATGTTTCAGCAAAATCAGTCCAGACATACTTAAGTGTAGTGAATCCAAACAATAATAATTCTTTGAGAAATTGAATTGTCACTTGCATCAAAATTGTTGTTTGGAAATTACTTAACAGGTACTAACACTTACTATGTTTTCATTTTGATCTACTAATGGATAAGCTATAGAAAATTGGAGTTTACCATGAAATTTATCCGCAGCTTTAACCATTTAATTGTATGGTTTTGCACTAACCCTTCTATTTCTGTAGATGCCGAAAAACGTGAAACCAGTGAAGAGAAAACTGAAGAGACGGATGTGGAAGAACAGTTTTCTCCCCTATCTAAGCAACAATCTCCGGCTAAGCAGGCCCTTAATCTAGAGCTTGATCCCCAGACACCATCTTTCTCTTTCTCTGATAAATCCCCAGACATAATAGTTTCCTCACAGCTAGATCAGGGGCAGCAGCCAGTATTGTCTGTTCCTGGTAAGCCTCTCTTGGTCGGCCCTTCACCATCAGACCAGCTGTCTACAGTTCTGGAAGGAGAAGAGGAGGAGGTGGATGAAGAACCTAAAGAAACCGAAGAACAAACTCCTCTTCCACAGCCAATACTACTTGATTCACCAACCAAAGATGATCGGGATGAAGAATTCATGGAGTCTGAAATCATAACTAAAGTCACTGAATCCACCTCAGAAACAAGAACGCAAACTGTCTTCCACAAATCTGAAAGAGAAAGTGTAGAACAGACTTTGCAGTTTTCACCTGATGACAGAGATGACACTGTTGTAGAGGAACAACTATTTGAATATCCTGCAGAATCCTATAAGGAAATGAAATCTACTGTGAGGGAAACCACAATCTCTGGAGTAGATTACATGGATGAACTTGTAAGTGAGTCATCTTACCAAACAACTGAAGAGACTGTTGAATGTGTGCAAAGTGTACCTGATGATGAAACGTTTGAGCCACTAGTGTCTGAACAAACAACAACCACAGTTTATGAAGAAAGAGTAGAAGTAAAGACTGATGATCAGGAGAAATTGAAAGAAAGTGATGATGAAGCTTCTGATGAATTTGGTGAAGCTGCAATAGACCGAACTGAAACACACATCACCACAGAAAGAGATGTCACAGACAGACCAGGAGATGTGGTGCATCCAGAGGTTTCTCTGGCACAGCAGTCTCAAGATCAAGACATTTTGATTGACACTTCAGTAACTGTACAAGAGACCTCTGTCTCGACCAAGGATGACACTGTGGAGAAAGAAGCACCATCAGTGCAGACTGAAGGTGATAATGTCATTGTAGATGTGAAAATGACAGAATCAATGAGAACTGAATCGGCTGACTCAGCAGGAGAACCTGATGAAGAGACTCTTGAGGAGAGGGAAACTCGGCTCTCATACATGGCATTCGACAACATGGCGTTCTCTGCTGAGGATGCTGACAAAGGAGCTATTGCAGCTGCTGACAAGCCAAAACTCCAGAAACAAGACACAAAGGAAATTTCTCCCGAAGACCTTGAGGAGAAACCATTTCAGTTTGAATTTCCTGATGACTTCAAACGGGAGCTTGATCAGAGAAAAATGACTCAGGACGAACTAGATCTGTCAGGACAGGAAGGGCTTTTTTCAGAAACAACTACTGAAACCACAGTGAAAGATGACAAGTATGAGACGACAACCACAACTACAACTACGTATTCTCACTTTGAACATAGTACGAGCATGACTGAGTCTTACCATGAACAGTTATCAGAATCTTACCATGAAACAAAACCAGATTTGGTTTCCTGTCAGGAGGAGCCAGTCCAACAACCAGTCTTGCTCACCGAGTCATCAGAAACCAGAATTGTAACTGAAATTCAGGCAGACATACCTACTAGCCATGAAATGGACATGACATCAGAAGTCACCGAAAAGGCAAAAAGTGACTCTGTTCCTGAGCCAAGGGAAACCATTCCAGATGATGAACCAGAACTAGAAAAAGGAGAGGAAATTCCAGAAGATGCTTCCTCACAAAGCAGTTCAGATCGTGACAATGAAGTGTTTGATGAAGCTAGTGGTAAATTTGTTAAAATTCCATGGGAGGTAGCACATCAGTTCAAGAGACAGTTCTCGGAGTCCTTACTGGAACAAGACAAAAAATTATTCAAAGCCCAACACTCAATTGATATGGGAGCATTCTACAGAAGGGATGAGAAGTCTGATGAAGCTGTATCTTTCAAAAATGAGCAACACAGATCAGAAACAATTGATGAGATAGAAGTTGAGGAAGTCTCTGAAACAAGATCAATGCAAAGGGTAACATTCCATCTATCTGATGAAGAAAGTGTTGAATACAGTGAAGTAACAGCAGAGGTTTTTGTTGATGGAGTACAGAAAGTTGAAACTCAGCCTGAAACCACTCCTGTCCATGAGCCCCATGATTTGATACAAGAGACTCACAAAGCTGAAGTTATATCAAGCATTCTAGAAAGTAGACAGCATGTCAAGGAAGAGATCGCAAAACAGGGTGAAGAAGCAGAGTTTGAAGATGAATTTGCAGCACAGGCTGCAAATATGTACAGGGAAGTTACATCTCAGGATATTTTTTCACCCAATGAAGACATGATGGCATCATATGCCACTGCCAAGTCGTCTTTAGATTCCTCAATTGAAAGATCATTCATTGATGCCCAGTATTACATGGAATCTTCACACACTGAATCATCCAAGTTCACAAGGGAAGACAGCACAGACAGTAGAGACAGCAAACCTGATGAAGAACTGTTCCCTGCGCATTCATTCCAGCCTATCAGTGTAGTGAGCAAGGAGTCTCGCCTTGCCCAACAGGAACTGCTCCAGGAAATGGGTGATGAGAAGGATAGATCACTCTCCCCTTCTGTTGACAGTGAAGAGTTGTCTACAACTTATGAGAGTCAAGCAGAACTGCAAGAAGAACTTGGGGGATGTGGAATGCAACATCCTCCTCACATACCAAACAAATTCCCCATGGCTGTACATAGCCTTAGTAAGGCACTAGCAGACAATGAAATATATGAGTCATCAGAAACTGAAAGAGATTCCACGGAGGAGAAACTGTCACCTATTGAGGAAGCCCCAACTTCTGAGGGTTTGGAGGAAATGAATGATGAACCATCAGGGAAAACAGAGAAGAGAGTTACATTTCAAACTGATACCTTATTTGCCAGAACCCAAGAGCTACATGGTGGTGAGGATGTGAAAACATCAACTTCTTCTTCAGAGGTTTCCATGGAGCCTACATTGTTAGCAGCATCATATGATCTGGATACTGGACATGTATCACATGTGGTGGCAGCGTATGACATCTCACCAGACTCCGTTGAAAAACAAACTCAACCAGAAGCCGCACCAAAAGCAATTCTTTCAAGTCCAGAAGATGATGTGTTTGAAACAGATGGTTCACTGGTAACGTCTGAAGTGAGAGTATGCTCTGATGTTTTGTCTGACACCAAAGAATCTGGATCAGATCTGTACCCCTCCCCACCTGCACCAACACCCATGGACTCCTCCATCACAGACACTGTGTGTGACCTTGAAAGTGCAAGTTCAAAATTAGAACAGATACACGATGAACAAGTTGAAAAAGAACTTGCAGCAGAAGAGGGTCATAGAGTTGATGAAGATGAGTTGTCAGAAACCCCCAAACATACTGAAGAGGATGAACCAAGTTCACCATTTGAAATCATGTCACCAAGTGAACTAGCGTATGTTGGCTTGGCTACAGAGGTTACAGTTGAGGGAGCTATGATCACATCCCTAGAATCAGCAACATCAACCAGCAGCTATGCTGAGATCGATACTGAAATGGTGAGTAGTCAGGATGTTGTTGTTGAAGAAGAGGAAGACATTATTGAACCTACACCTGCACAGGAGATTGTAAGTATGCCAAATGGACCAACTGAGGTGGAGTATCATGCAGAATATGACCAGGAATATCCAGAACAACCACCCATTCATTATCAGGAACAATTTATTGTGGAACATGATGTCATTGGTCAGCTTCAAGATGCCCAACTGCCTGTGGAGGAAGAGCCTAAAGGAGAATCATTTGTCCAGTCAACTGATGAATTACCACAACAGATGGAGTTTTCAGCAGGTGATGCCCAGCCTATTGAATCCAAAGAACAAGAGAAAGATGTAACTCTCACACAGGGTGTCATGGAAGAGCTTCAGCCACCTCAAGGACAAGATCAGCTGACATCATCTGAACAAACACTCTATGGATTTGAAATGCCATCTGAGGAGATGGGAGCATTGTCTGTTTCTACATCCTTCAAAGAATCGCTTGGAGCGGTGGAGGTTGACCAAGACTCTGAAATGACACAACCTCCAACAGAAATCACTTTTCAAACAGATGAAGCTTTAACTGAACAAGAACTTTCTGAAACCAAGGGCCCTGTTCCAGTGGACACAATCACGACAGAAGCAAAAGAGAAGACATCTGAACCAGAACCTCCAGCTGAAGAAGCAAAGGAAGAGTTTGAGTTGCCTCAGGGTGGTATCTACCCAGGGAAAAGAGCTCTTGAGATAGAGGCAGAGCCACAGGTTGCTTTCGCTTCGGAATATAGCAGTGACATGCTGGGTACAGAGGAGCAACAACAGTATTTCTCTGCTAGTGATAGTGATGATGGACTCGATGAGTATGTCGAACAGGATGAACCAGTAAAGGAGAAACCCAAAGAAGAAAAAGAAACTTTACAATATGAAGACCATTATTCCATGTCAAAAGAGTCTGAATACAAAGAAAGTGTGACAACAACTGTATTTACAGAGACAATCATTCAGTCGAGTGACATCCACGATTTTGTGTCTGAGGTACAAACAGAAAGGCAGGTTGAATCTGAATATGCTGAAAAGGCAGAGGATGAACTTATCAGGTTGGATGACAGTAAGCCAGAATCAGAAGTTGATGAGAGTGAACCAGTACCAGCCCCATTGTTCATTGCTACTGAGAAAAATGACCAGTTGGATATTCTGCAGGATGATCTGGATCGACCAATATCTCCAACTCCTGATGCAGTGCAACAATCCTACTTTGGAGATGAGCAGGATGAGCTAATGGCTTCTGAATTACAAGCTGCTGAAGAAGAAGTTCTGGAGAAAACAGCAAGTAGTTTTGTTGAATCTATCCTAGAGGATGTCAAACAGAAGGTTCAGGATGAGAAAGAAATGGAGTATGCAGAGATGGAAGCCTCAGCTGCAGTATTGGAACCAGATGAGGATATATCAGATGAAGAACCTGCTGTTGCAATGGCTGCAGACAATGGAGATGTGGACAGGACTGACGAGAGTGAAGAAGAACTAGAAGTTCCCCCTGCCACTCCACCCCCTCCTATACCACCTTTACCACTCTTTAGAAAACAGGTTTCCGAGGATATTCCTGAAATCACAATCACACAACATCTTCATGAGGAAAGAGATGAAGGTGATTATCCGTTATGCTTTGCTGAGAAATACACCAACGAATGCATTCCTGAAAAAGATGATGAAGAGGAAGATGTGGAACCAAAACAATCCACATCATATCAGTCAGAATTTGACCAAACTGATGCTCCAAGAGTGGAAGAGACTACCAAAGAAGAGGAGGTTCAGGAGCAGGAAGAGCCTCCTGAGGAGAAAGAAGAAAAAGAAATTAGTTATCCACAAGATAAGGATCCTTTTTTAGTGGATACTGACTCAGAATCAACCCCTAAAGTTTTGAAAGATGCTGAGCAACAACTTCAGCTTGGAGTTGCTGTTCAACAGAGTGAAATAGTAGAGGCTGAAACTGGGTCTACACCTGTCAATGAACAAGATAAACTTGCAGAAGAATTTGAACTGAGAGTGGAAATCTGTGATGGAATGAGACCCTATGATTATGCAGAACTTCAGAGTCCTGAAGATCATGGTGACTCTTCGAGTGTTGACAGTTTTGCCACAGTTGTTGCTGCACAACCCGATGAAGATGAGGACATGGTAGATGAGGAACAAGAAGACAGATTGGCTGACTTTGCATCAATGACCTCCTCATTCCACTCAGACATGCAGCCTACTCTTCAAGATACTGGTGGTGAGGAGGACGATGATGATGAGGATGAAGAAGAGGAACCAGAAGAAATTCTAGAATGGCCAAGACGTAGCTATGATCGAGATGGTGACAGGGAAAGTGAATCCTCATTGGATAGTGAACGCTATGAATTTATAGACAGGACAGCATTGTCTGTTATCACTGAAATGTCTGATGAAGATCGGTTTGAAATGATTGAGAGAGAAGAAGCACTTTCTGAAGGTGGAACATCAGACCATGTACAAAGCTCTCCAGAAGGACCACAACCATCACCTGGTGTGAATAACTACAAATTCTTTGGGAAAAGTAATGAAAAGGATGATGTTTCCATCTCATCATCTCTACTAGAATTTGAAAATCTTGAAAAGGAAATCAACCAATCTGGCTCCGTAAGTTCTATTGAACTTGGTGACAAGGAAAGTCTTGGTGGATCCCTTGATGAGAGACGCTTTCCCTCAAACAATAAAAACAATGACAGAGATGATGCATCAGTAGCATCCTCACTTGCAGAGTTTGAAAGACTTGAAAGAGACATTGCTGTGTCAGGTTCCTTGGGTTCCATTGAGAAAGTGTCATCTGGTTCTCTAGGTTCAATGGAGAAGGTGTCTGGTTCTCTGGGGTCCATAGAAAAAGTTACACCAGAAAGTAAAAGCAGCAATGGGGCCGGCTCTTTGACCTCATTAGCTGAGTTTGAGAAGTATGAGAGGGAATGTTTTACAGATTCTGAGGACAGGAGAAGTTCTTTAGGCAGTATGAGCAGAAAAAGTGATGCTTCCTCTCATCCTTCTTTAATAGAATTTGAACATTTAGAACGTGAAGTAAGATCCACGGAAGAACTTGAAGTTGAAGCCCAGAAAATTGTGACCATCTTGGAATCTGGGTCACTATTTGCAGCTGCTAAAGCTTATTCAGCTAAACATGACATTGACAGAGACTCTCTTGATGGTAAAGAAAGCATTGATCATGATTCGTTGAGTGAAGGAGAGAAGGCTGATTCACTTGACGGTGACACATCAGAACTGACTGACATGACATCAAGTGTGATTTTCACTGGTATTGTGCCCGTCTGCCAGGCTGCAGGTGATGCAACAACATCGGGTGGAGAATTCACGTCTGCTAATGAACAGGACTCTGACTCATTACATGGAGAATCAGTCATGCAGTTGTCTTCAGATTCTCTTGGCCTGGAGCACAGGAAATCACAGAGAGATGTGTATGACACTGACTCTCTGCATGAAACTGATGGTGCAATGGACAGATCTGCTGACTCTATTGAATTAGGTTGCAGATTAGAAACTGAACCAGTGGACATCATGTGTAAATCTGCAGATTCCATAGAACTTGAACGTCAGTTGCTTGTGGAAGCTGGTTTCATGCAAACGTCGACAGATTCACTGGAACTAGGTCAGCCAGAGACTGTGATGGAGAGATCAACAGATTCAGCTGGAAGTTGATCAGAAAGCCGAAATAGATAGAGACTCTTTACAAGGCCAAGATGATGTGATGCTAACTTCTGCAGATTCTTTGGAGTTTGATAAATCAGATAAGCCGCCAGATGTCATGCAGATGTCTGTTGAATCTGCTGCTTGGAGCAGCATGGGTAGTTCCGGTTTGTCAAAATCATCACAAGAGACAATCAGATCGCAAAGTGACTCAAGTCATTCTCATGACTTGATGCAGGTTTCTGCAGAATCTGCAGAATTCAAATACAAGCACAAAATGACTGAGGAAAAATCACAAATCATAGAACAATCCTATACACACAAATCAGAAAGCCAAACAAAGACTCATACAACAGAAGTGAGACACGTATCTCAAACTTCTTACGACACCAATCCATTCCTAGAAACCGAAGAAGAGTATGAATCCTATGAACAATATAACAAAGAGCAAAACTTCAAGTTTGACATGGAGCCAACAGTTTCTTCAAGTCCCTTCCTTTCCCATGGTCCATACCAAGAGAAAAAGAAAGTATTTACAATGGCTGAATGGGAAGCAATGAAACAGTCAAAAAAGAACAAATCTCCCAGCCCTGAAATGAGCCCCCCTAGAGACCCTGCACCCACTTCTTCCCACCCTGTCTCTGACCACTCCTCTTCTCCCACTAGCCAGCCCCACATAGGACTTGCTACTTCGGAGACAAGCGACTCTAGTCGAGGTACTCACAACTCTTTTCAGTTCCTTCTCCTCAATCATCTCCACCTGTTGCCTAGTCATCAGCATCTGTCCGGTCCTCATTTCCTTGCATGTCTACTCCTCATCCCCACTCAATCAATTCTATATGGGCTGTCCAATACGTTCATCTTCAGTTTTCATCAGTTATATTTTCATATGTTGCTAGTTGAAGTTTTCTAATTTCATTTCCATATCTTTTTTTTTAAATTACTTTTCAGGATGTTTCATCTTGTAAAATATCAAAATGTTGTCCAACTATTAGTATGTTATGTGTTGATGTGTCTGGTCTGCAGATGATATAGGCATATGTGTAGATTTCATTTTAAAAATCCAAAACCTATGTCTTACAGACTAGTTGCATCAATGTACAAATTAAAGGACTTGCCTCGTACACTCATGTTACCATATTTGGCTCAGAATAGCTGATAATTTTAGGGAGGCAAGTTCTTGTAATTGTTGTCAAAAGTTATATGCACTTCTTGAATCTATTTGCACTAATGTATCAATTTCTTTTGCAGAGTTGTGGCGATCTTCTGTTGTGTTCTTCTCTCGTGTGTTTGTGACCATTATAATTTGTAGCATTTCTTCCAGTGCCAGCCTCATCCGCACTTTTATAATTGTTTCGATTATCTTACGTTGAATCTGCTTTATCTGTTGTGAGGTGGTGTACATCTGTCTTATTTTGCTAGAATGCTGTTATTCATGCAGGTTTTAAGAACTTTAATTCTGTGTTAAATGCTCCTATATTGAAATCATGCTTACACAGTGAGTCATGACTGTATATCCTGTAATTATGCCATGAAACATCACGTTAATCATCGTGGGACACATTTTAGCATTTCCATACAAAATATGCAACAATATCATCAACTTAGTTTAAACATTAATAATCATTATAAAATCAAAACAACTTGATATGATGAATAAAAAATATACATTTAGCATTATTTATTCAATGATGTCAAATGCTAATTAACAGTGCATCTGTCTGTTTGGATGCCTGATTTTGTGCCAACACATTTAACTGACTGTTTCGGTTTCCATGGTAGCAGCACATGGGGAGGAGGAAGAAGAAGGGGATCCCGATCTGATGGAAGGTGGGCTGTCGCTATGACGATGGTGCTCTGTATAGTCTGTCTGTTGTCTGGTGCATTTGAACTCTTCGTGTTGTTAGAAGTGTTCGTACAATGGAATGCTGGTTGTTGTCTGGGCCTGAAGGGACTGTTGTCCCTGGATACTGATTCAAGATGAGCCATCCTCTTGTAATAGTGGTCCTAATGCATATCGTTATTTAATTTTGGAGACCTGATATATTCTTAAGTGTTGTTAATCATAGTGAAAATGGATTTCGATCTTATTATTGTCCAATATAGTTCCTGGTTTAGGTTTTAGAAAATATACATCTCTTCATCAGTGAAGAATAATAACTTTATATGCACTTATTTGGTTTTACAAAGTAGAAGTTACTGAAAGATAAATCATTAAATTAGGAATTTCACTGAATGTGAAACAAAGTCGATAATTCCATTATGATCTTAATTCAGCTTTGAACTTTTTATGTAGCATTAGTCTTTTCCTGGAGCATATAGTTTGTGTTGAAAGACGTCGTTAGATATTGAAGGCTTAATGATACTGTGCCCAATAGTTTTAGAATGAAAAATGTGTGGTTGTTTAAAACTGTTGTAAATCTGTTGTTTTTAAGGATTTGAAGAATGTTGTCATAAGTGTGGAAGTCAGGACTGACACAACAACCAGTTAGATTTCATACTTTCACAAGACAAAGCATTATTTAACTAGTTTCTGACAGGCTGGTGCCAAAACACGTTTTTCTGAAGTTTTCAAAACTACTCCCAGTATTTGTTCATTATGTTTTCCCACCTGAAATATATTGCTCTACCTTTGTATCTGATGTTGGAGCTGCAATACATTACTTAGATAGCTGAAGAAGTAAGATCGGTATAGTAAATTGCCAAATGGTTGGGTCTCCTAAAGAAGTGTGTCTGATTAAATATTGTCTCAGAATGGTGCCTCAAAGCATCAGCTACATATTCTGCCCCGGCAGAAGGGACGAGTGGAAAACAACAGGGCTGTTTTGCTACAATATCTATCGATCATTACTACTAGAGTTCTCATCACTATATGGCTGAAATATTGCCGAGGTGACGTTAAATTTTAACTCACTCACTACTACTAGAGTAGCTCAGTGGTCAAAGTGTTGGCACATTATGCTAATTATCAAGATTCAGTTTCCAACGTACACACAATAAATACTATATACACCATTGTGCCATAAAGAGTTAATAGGTTATGTGCTGAAGTCATTATTGCATTGTTAAGTCATTATTGCATGGTTATGTAGAGTGTTAAAAAGTTGTATGCTGAGGTCTGTCTGCTGAAACCATTTTCCATTTTTCCAGAGTTCATAATATCAAATTTATCTTCAGAACTATGGTCTTATTAAATGTTTATAATGTTTTATGCTAAGTCTCAGTCACACTATCATCATACGATGTTGTTATTAGGTTGTATGCTTAGGTCTTTCACCTGGTCTGTAGTGTAAATTAGATCTGAAGTCTCTATTGCAAAGTGGACATGTAAAATTTTAATGAATTGTACCCTGAATCTCTCATCCACCGGCGCGGTGGGGTAGCCTAGTGGTTAAAGCGTTGGCTCGTCACGCCGAAGACCCAGGTTCGAATCCCCACATGGGTACAATAAGTGAAGCCCATTTCTGGTGTTCCCTGCCGTGATATTGCTGGAATATTGCTAAAAGCGGCGTAAAACCAAACTCAGTCAGTCAGTCTAATCCAACGTTGTCATATAAGGTGTTAATGAGTTCTATGCTAAATCAGGGCGGTGGGGTAACCTAGTGGTTAAAGCATTCACTCGTCAAGCCGAAGACCCGGGTTTCGATTCCTCATATGGACACAATGTGTGAAGCCCATTTCTGGTGTCCCCCACCGTGATATTGCTGGAATATTGCTAAAAGTAGCGTAAAACCAAACTCAATCATTCACATACTATATCCTGAATCTCTAATGTACCAATGTGTGTAGCCCATTTGGTGTCCCCTGCCGTGATATTGCTGGAAAATTGCTAAAAACGGCGTAACACCATACTCACTCAGTCTAATGAACCATTGTCATATAAGGTGTTAATGAGTTAGATCCTGAATCTCTAATCCACCATTGTCATATAAGGTGTTAATGAGTTAGATCCTGAATCTCTAATCCACCATTGTCATATAAGGTGTTAATGAGTTAGATCCTGAATCTCTAATCCACCATTGTCATATAAGGTGTTAATGAGTTAGATCCTGAATCTCTAATCCACCATTGTCATATAAGGTGTTAATGAGTTAGATCCTGAATCTCTAATCCACCATTGTCGTATAAGGTGTTAATGGGTTAGATCCTGAATCTCTAATCCACCATTGTCATATAAGGTGTTAATGAGTTAGATCCTGAATCTCTAATCCACCATTGTCATATAAGGTGTTAATGAGTTAGATCCTGAATCTCTAATCCACCATTGTCGTATAAGGTGTTAATGGGTTAGATCCTGAATCTCTAATCCACCATTGTCGTATAAGGTGTTAATGAGTTAGATCGTGAATCTCTAATCCACCTTTGTAGGTATAAGGTGTTAATGAGTTAGATCCTGAATCTCTAATCCACCATTGTCGTATAAGGTGTTAATGAGTTAGATCATATAAAGTGTTAATGAATCTCTAATCCACCATTGTTGTATAAGGTGTTAATGTGATAAGGTGTTAGATCCTGAATCTCTAATCCACCATTGTCATATAAAGTGTTAATGAGTTAGATCCTGAATCTCTAATCCACCATTGTCATATAAGGTGTTAATGAGTTAGATCCTGAATCTCTAATGCACCATTGTCATATAAGGTGTTAATGAGTTAGATCCTGAATCTCTAATCCACCATTGTCGTATAAGGTGTTAATGAGTTAGATCCTGAATCTCTAATCCACCATTGTCGTATAAGGTGTTAATGGGTTAGATCCTGAATCTCTAATCCACCATTGTAAGTGGTATAAGGTGTTAATGGGTTAGATCCTGAATCTCTAATCCACCCAGTATAAGGTGTTAATGGGTTGATCCTGAATGTCTAAGCCACCATTGTAGCAGTATAAGGTGTTAATGGAGTTAGATCCTGAATCTCTAATCCACCATTGTCGTATAAGGTGTTAATGAGTTAGATCGTGAATCTCTAATCCACCATTGTCGTATAAGGTGTTAATGAGTTAGATCCTGAATCTCTAATCCACCATTGTCATATAAGGTGTTAATGAGTTAGATCGTGAATCTCTAATCCACCCTTGTCGTATAAGGTGTTAATGAGTTATATGCTAAAGTCTGTGTTGCATCATTATCGTATAAAGTGTTCACAAGTTGTCTGCTGAAGTTCCTATTGAACTGGTGTCACATAAAATGTTCACAAGTTCTATGCTTAAGTGTTTTTTGCATAGTTGTCATATAAAGTGTCAATGTGTTATATGCTGGAATCTGCTGCACAGTTGTCATGAAGTGTGTCTCCTGGATGATCCTGATGTTGTGAAAACGTATTTGCTGCATATTGTTTTGTGGGCCTGTCTCCTGAAATGGACATCCATGTTTGTGTGTTTCCCCAGTAGTACTGTCAATGCAGCCCTGTAGTTATCATGATATATATAGTTGGTAGATTGATAATGTGCATGGGTAGTCTTTGAATAATTAAAAGTACTTTACTTGTATGTTGCTGTGGGCGGTGGGGTAGCCTAATGGTTAAAGCATTGGCTCGTCACGCCGAAGACCCGGGTTCGAATCCCCACATGGGCACAATGTGTGAAGCCCATTTCTGGTGTCCCCCGCCGTGATGTTGCTGGAATATTGCTAAAAGCGGCGTAAAACCAAACTCAGTCAATCAGTCAGTATGTTGCTGTCACAGCTATCAGAGTCAATTATTAAGTATCAAGGTATATTAGTTTTGGTATGGTTATTGTGAACAAGCTCATCTATGATGTTGGAATTGTCTTGTGCCATCACGATTCCTCACATGGGTACAACATGTAAAGCCATTTTTGGTGTACCCTGCCGTGATATTGCTAGAATTTTGTTAAAGTGTAAATAGTAATCACTCATTCACTGTAAAAGTGGAAAGATGTTTGTAATTTGAAACTAAATATACATGTTTATTACAGAATATCATTTTGTAAATTGCAATTTTTTGGGGAGATCTGATATTGCTTTTCATGTTAATTTTGTTATCAACTCTAAAGAGCAGTTTTGTGATGAATGAGGATGTATTGATTCAAGGTAAGTAAATGTACTTGTGCATGTGTACGACATCATCTGACCAGCTTGTGATGGTATTTCAGGAGACGACAGCATTGGCAGCATGAACAGTTCACTGACCACCTCAGTCGATGGAGCTGAGTCTACAAAGTAAGCATAGTGCCCCTCACTACCACACACAGTACCCCACTCAGCTACACATAGTGCCCCTCACCACCACACAGTACCCCACTCAGCTACACATAGTGCCCCTCACCACACACAGCCCCCTACCACCACACCAGTGCCCCACCTCAGCTACACATAGTGCCCCTCAGCCACACACATAGTGCCCCACTCACCTACACACATAGTGCCCCTCACCACCACAGACCCACATACACACATAGTGCCCCTCACCACCACACACAGTGCTCCCCTCACCAGCTACACACATAGTGCCCTCACCACCACACAGCAGTGTCTCCCACTCAGCCACCTCACCACCACACACAGTACCCCACTCAGCTACACATAGTGCCCCTCACCACCACACACAGTACCCCACTCAGCTACACATAGTGCCCCTCACCACACACACAGTACCCCACTCAGCTACACATAGTGCCCCTCACCACCACACACAGTGCCCCACTCAGCTACACATAGTGCCCCTCACCACCACACAGTGCTCCCTCACCACCCCCACTCTAGCTACACATAGTGCCCCTCACTCACACACACAGTGCTCCCACCTCAGCTACACACCACACAGTGCCCTCACCACCACACATAGTGCCCCCCCTCACCAGCCACACACAGTGCCTCCCTCACTCACCACTGCCTCCTGCCACACACCCAGCACCACACACATAGTGCCCCTCACCACCACACACAGTGCCCCACTCAGCTACACATAGTGCCCCTCACCACCCCACACACCACACACACACCTCAGCCACCAGCACACAGTGCCCCTCACACACACACAGTGACCCCTCACCAGCTACACATATAGTGCCCCCTCACCACCACACACAGTGCCCCCCCTCACCACCACACATAGTGCCCCTCACCACCACACACACAGTGCTCCCACCTCCACACACAGTGCCCCACATAGTGCCCCTCACCACCACACACAGTGCCCCACCTCAGCTACACATAGTGCCCTCACCACCACACACAGTGCCCCCACTAGCCACACATAGTGCTCCCTCACCACACACACAGTGCCCCACCTCAGCACACATAGTGCCCCCCTCACCACCACACACAGTGCCCCACTCAGCTAGCTACACATAGTGCCCTCACCACCACACACAGTGCCCCCCACTCACCTACACATAGTGCCCCCTCACCACCACACACAGTGACCCCACACCACCACACACAGTGCCCCTCACCACCACACACAGTGCCCTCACTAGCCACACATAGTGCCCTCACCACCACCACACACAGTGCCCCACACCAGCTACACATAGTGCCCCTCACCACCACACACAGTGCCCCACCTCAGCTACACATAGTGCCCTCACCACCACACACAGTGCCCCACACTAGCTACACATAGTGCCCCTCACCACCCCTCACCACCACACACAGTGTGCACCCCACACTCACACACATAGTGCCCACCACCACACACAGTGACCCTCACCTCACCACCCCTCAGCCACACATAGTGCCCCCACTACTCACCACATAGTGCCCTCACCACCACACACAGTGCCCCACCTCACCACCACCACACACATAGTGACCCTCACCACCACACCAGTGCCCTCACCACAGTGTGCCCTCACCACCACACACAGTGCCCCTCACTCACCACACACACAGTGCCCCACCTCACACTGCCCTCACCACCACACACCATAGTGCCTCACCACCACACATAGTGCCCCTCACCACCACACACAGTGCCACACAGCTATCCATAGTGCCCCCACCCAGTCACCACCACACACAGTGCCCTCACCACCACACACATAGTGCCCTCACCACCACACACAGTGCCCTCACCACCACACATAGTGCCCCTCACCACCACACATAGTGCCCCTCACCACCACACACAGTGCCCCTCACCACCACACATAGTGCCCCTCACCACCACACACAGTGCCCCTCACCACCACACATAGTGCCCCTCACCACCACACACAGTGCCCCTCACCACCACACATAGTGCCCCTCACCACCACACACAGTGCCCCTCACCACCACACACAGTACCCCACTCAGCTATCCATAGTGCCCCTCACCACCACACACAGTGCCCCTCACCACCACACACAGTGCCCCTCACCACCACACACAGTGCCCCTCACCACCACACACAGTACCCCACTCAGCTATCCATAGTGCCCCTCACCACCACCACACACAGTGCCCCCACCACCACATCCATAGTGCCCCTCACCACACACACACAGTGCCCCCACCACCACACATAGTGCCCCTCACCACCACACACAGTGCCCCCCACCCATAGTGCCCCACCACACACAGTGTGTGCCCTCACCACACACACAGTGCTCCCCCTCACCACCACACACACAGTGCCCCCTCACCACCACTCACAGTACCCTACTCAGCTACACATAGTGCCCCTCACCACCACAGACAGTACCCCACTCAGCTATCCATAGTGCCCCTCACCACCACACACAGTGCCCCTCACCACCACACACAGTACCCCACTCAGCTATCCATAGTGCCCCTCACCACCACACACAGTGCCCCACTCAGCTACACATAGTGCCCCTCACCACCACACACAGTGCCCCTCACCACCACACACAGTGACCCCTCACCACCACACATAGTGCCCCTCACCACCACACACAGTACCCCACTCAGCTATCCATAGTGACCCTCACCACCACACATAGTGACCCTCACCACCACACACAGTACCCCACTCAGCTATCCATAGTGCCCCTCACCACCACACACAGTGCCCCTCACCACCACACACAGTACCCCACTCAGCTATCCATAGTGCCCCTCACCACCACACACCATAGCAGCACATAGACTTTCAGCACCCCTTATAGTTTCACACACAGCGCATTACGGCAACACACAGCTCCAGAATGCATAATGCGTGCATGAGCAAGAAATTCTGTCGTTAAAAGTATAAGACACAGTCATGAATTTGAACAAATCTGTTCAGCCAGTCATATTTTAGCAAACACTCCAATTTGATTTATGATATCTCCTGCAGGCTGATGCTGAAGAAGGAGATCCACATGAAGACCACCATCGGACCAGACGGTCGCGAGCAGACCATGGTAAAGGAGGACATCCAGGTGCGACAGGAAAACGATCCCCCGGAGGAACTACGTGACAGCATGCAGGAGATTATTAACCAGTTCATGGTGTCTGAAATGCCACAACAGAGACAGGCACTTGAAGATGATGTGTAAAGATGCACTGCACAGCAGATGCAGCAAGACTTGACATCTGCTCATCCCAGAGCATCTGCCGTCTGCTGCAGTCTCATTGTGGTGCTTCTTCTGGTTACCAGTGCTTCATCCAGGGTATGATGGACGATGGACATTTTGGACATAACAGGGATTAATAATCAGGACATAATTGCATGGAGGAAACTGATCAAATGACTGTCTACTTCCTGGATATTGAATTTCACTATATCCTGGATTAAGCACTATAATTTCGGCTGTTGAGCAACTATTACTTGCCACTTACAACCCATTTTCAAGGAACAATTTTATTTTTTTTGCAGTGTTTACATTGTCACTGGAACTGAAGTATTTTATTACACAAGTATGATTTCATTTCTTTCCTCTATTGGCAGTAGCATTTCCAACTATGTACATGGATCATTTGTCATGTAACCTTTCGGCAAATATTTACACCTAAAATCTTCATCAAGCTTAGCATTTTATCAACGGCATTCCTCTATTTTCGACAAGAGATTGAGCCAAGTTGGTACACTTTGTTTACAGTGGTATGCAAGATGTCTGCTTGGAAACAACTACCTTCGTATTCCATTCTAGGTGATGTAAATGCAAATCAGACATACTTCATTCTATAATATTTGCTGTGTTTGACTGATGTGTTGTTTGAGCTTCACTTTTGGCTTGATAATACTTACAGCTACTGCCAATAGTCAACCATGTTTCAATCGAGGGGCATATTGGGAAAAGATTGCCTTCTTTTATGAAAGAGATATGGAATGATGATATTCCACTCACAGCACTACAGAATTTTGTACCACATTATGCATTACCATTCCAGAGGATGCCTAGCACTGCCAGTATGCCCTTCAAAATGTTTGACAGGTCTGGTTTGCACCTGCAAGTGACATTATTTATTACACTGACGATTTCTGTTACTGCTTCCATTTTGTCTGCAAATTCTGACATTTTGCATGTTTTGAAATAATGTTCATGACTTATATACTCTACAAATGTGACAGACATTGATGATACTTGATGTAACCAGATCCTGGACGTACACCACATCGCTCCTATCCAGATCGGCCCCATTCAGTCTGGATTGGACCGATTGTACATTTCACCCAAACTGAAATTGACAAGGGTTGATGTTTGACGATACGGTACTCGTGTTTTATGTGGACGGTAGGCTGCTGTAATTCATTGATATTGGTGTAATTAATGCATTTTTCTGAAGTCTATGGATACCGAACTAAAGTGGTTTGTGGGATTATAATGGATTTTAATTTATCAGCACGTATTTGTAAATTTAGGTGCCTGAGTTTCTAGCCATATCTATTTGTACATGACACAGTGTTTTAGTAAATTGAGATGACTACTCTGTTAGTGCCTCTGATGTGACTGTATCTGTTCTGAGCAAAGATCTCCCTAGATGTACACAGCTCTGCTTTCTTTTTTATCATATCTGACTGAGATCTGTTTTAGAATGTATTGCCTCCGTTAAACCATCCATAATGTTGTGAAGTTATATGATTAATCTCATCTTAATAAATGCTTTAGTATGCCATACAAGCATGTGTTTGTTGTCTCACTGCTGATCAGGAGATTCTGGATTGGGATGGTCCCCTATAACCAGTGCTGGTTATACCACTATCAGCAGTAATCCCACAGCAGTAGCATGCTGTTCTCGTCCATCTGTTGGGCACCACCGCCATATAGCTGAAATATTTCTGAGTGTGGCATAAAACTAAACATTCTGGATTGGGGTTTGTCCCTTGTAACCTGTGTTTGTTTGCACCACTATGTGTAGTATTCTACCCATGTTCTGTGTGGGGATTCTGGGTTAGAATAGCTCACCAGCAACACACACTGGGTTTAGAAGCAGCGTGTCATTGTTTATCATTTTACCAGGACAATATTATAAGTTGTTCACTGGTCACGAGGGGGACATGGGTTGATGTACCTTCTATGTTTGCCCGAAGGGCGAGGGGAACATAAACAAACAGAGAGGGTAAATCAACCCATGGGGCCCAATGTTGCAGTGAACAACGTGTTTATCTTACCGAACACGTCAATGTTAATTTTGAACTGTTTGAAGCACAGGTATTGGATCATAATAAAGAGTACCGGAGTTAGGGAACAGCCCAAACACTACTAACATGAAATACCAATCAAATTCCCACAATTCGGCATTTCCAGCGGGTAACATAGAATATGTTACTCGCTTGTAAGCGGGATACATTGATTGACTCAGCCAATCAGAAAACGACATTTATGTGTGACATAAGATAAGGATCAATTGTCATAACATCTGGGTTGTCATTAGAATTGTATCCCTATGGCAGGAGATACAGCTCTAGGAGATGGAAATATAGCTATTGGTGTCAAACAACAGGACTTTCTGGTCCAGATCAAATTATATATTGGCTACAAGATGTGACTGAGCCTAAAACAGAAACAAGAGCTACTGGGTTGCTTACTTAAACTTAAGGTAAGGTAGGGTGAGTTACGTGAAGCTACTGACTGAACAAGGTACAGTAACCAGGAACAATCTGTATGAAGCTCGCAGCACAACTGACCGACCAAGGGGTCTAGCAGGTCAGAAAACACATTAACATTGTTCCACGTCAGACGCAACTGCACAGGCCAATCAACGTGCTCTTGTACTATATTGTCACACAACATCTCACATGTAATCTTCCACCATTGGGCCGGTGGGGTAGCCTAGTGACCCAGGTTCGATTCCCCACATGGGTACAATGTGTTAAGCCCATTTCTGGTGTCCCCCGCCGTGATATTGCTGGAATATTGCTAAAAGCGGCGTCTTCCACCATTCAAATTCACTTCAATCACAATCATTTGAATCCTTCCAAGTACACATGGTATACCTGTAATGCCATTAAAGCTACCCGTGAAGACTGGGGTTAGAATCGGTCTTCAGCAACCTATGATTGTAAGGGGTGACTTACAGGATCAGGTAGTGGGGCTCGTTGGTTTGGTTGACGCTTGGCACTGAATCCCAATATCCCAAATATCGATCCTCATGATGTCTATCACTGGATTGTCTTGTTTCGTACTCGAATATTTACAGACCGCCGTCATACAGCCGGGGTAATGCTGAGTGCGGTGAATGGCAATGATATGGGGTTGATATAGGGCTTTGATAAAGAAGATCTGAAGTGATTTCTCCCAAACGTTCGTTAATATTTCTCACCCAAAACAAAGCAGAAATCTGTTGCGTTTCATACTGCTTTTAAATAAACCTATTTGCTAGTTCAAATCCAACAATATATAAAGCTTGGGAAGTGAAAATAATCCAAATAACAATAATTCCTGCTTTTAAGTACGGTTACGTCCATCGGCGCCGTATATGGGGACATGTCATTCATTGCTTTCACATTTCAATGTTAAAGTTTTAAGGAATACTGCTTTTATAGTATCATAATTCTTCCTCTTTTCGCCAGTGGTTGGAACATTTGATATGAGAATATACGGACTTTGACTAGGCGTTTTCAGGTCATGAGCCACGTTCCTTGGTGCCAAGAATGGTCATTACAAACGTTATGGTTGTACGAAGAAGATCCTTGCAGATCAAACAGTGATCAATTACACTTAAAACCATTTTATGACCCGACACGTGTAAAAACTGTCTGGATTTTGATCGATTGTCATTGTATACAGAATAATGAGTTTATTAGTCTTTTGATCCCAGGAAAAGGTACAATCTGCGTTGTCATTTCTAGTGGTCCATGCCATCATACTGCTGAAATATTACTAAAAACATAAAAACACACACTACACAATTTGGCTACTATTGAGAACTACATAGGCCGGTTACTTGTTGAAGGCCTCTTGGATGGATTCTTCTATGGTCGCGATGACTCATAAAAATTCAATTTTAGCATAAGCCATGTAGTCATATGACCTTCTCCACTCAAGAAGCCTCTGTGTTTACGTCCACTGCAGGTTTAAGAGTTTCACGTACTCCACATTGGAACACACACATTAGTTGTCTGACATACCATCAAAACACCTGAACAGTGTCAAAAACAGCCGAAACTTGTCTTCAAAAAGCAATAACGTTCTGTTGGTATTCTTGGTAGAAACGATTTGCAGTACATGTTCAAGAGACTCATTTATTTCATAATCCCAAAATATGTCAAATATTTGTAATAGGTTTTATTAATGTCAAAGGTGATGGACAATTTTCCACATGTTTGTTCTGTTAGTTTGTTCCCCAGGTTTGAGAAACACATTTTTGGTGTACCTCGCAATTAAAGTGCTAAATGCGACGTCAGAAATATACTCTCTCATAAATATTATTTCCCCTTTGTTTAAATATTTGTTATAGCCAGTATCAATTCGTTACGATATAATGGTAATGTTAATTCATGGAGTAGCTCCAAACGTGTGTTTGACAACATGGCGTCCAGTCTGTCAACTTCAAAATGCGACTTCTCATGTTCAAAAGATATCGTGAACTGAACTTTGTAATTTCATGACATACAATTTTGCGTTATCTCATTACAACATATTATTTAAGTGATTGGCGTATTGGGTGAAAAGGCGAAACTATTAGACTATATTCAGATAAATGCTAAAACAATTTCGTTCAGGTTCTTTCCTTCGTTGGAGGAAATGCCAAGCCACGACAATTAGTGCGTGCAAACCTCCAGGTAAACTGCCTATTTGAGTAAAACACGAATGATGATTTTTCAAATCAATTTCGCATAGGTCTACAATTAAAAAAGAATGATAAAACAACACTTTGTGTAATCACCCAGTGTAGAAATCTGGTCTTTCCAGAATGCTTATCTGAATGTCTTTACAAATGTATATGTACCTATTGCAGGCATCACATACACATTACCTCTACAGAATTACACACAATCATTAACTATTACTTCTCCCTTATTGTTCATAAGTGAGTGAGTGAGTGAGTTGAGTTTTACGCCGCACTCAGCAATATTCCAGCTATATGGCGGCTATTGTTCATAAGGCGTATATGGCTGTTGTGGGGTTTTTGTGACACACTCAGGGGTAGCACATGAGCAGATGCAAGTTAGTACCGGTCACCCGAACAGCATATTATGGAGAATCGTAAAAATAATTTGTTTAAAAAATCCCTAATGCGTGTAAATGGTCAAAAGCCTAATGTTATATCTGGAGTCCGGTATGTCTGGCACGACTTACATTATTATCTCTCAACGCCTGTTGATATCAAATTATCGGAGTTTTTATAGTAAGTTTTGGTTGTTTTTGTTATTTAATGCTACACTCAGCAATATTCAACCAATGTGATGACGTCATATAGATAATGAGTGAGTGAGTGAGTGAGTTTTGGTTTTACGCCGCTTTTAGCAATATTCCAGCAACTTCACCGCGGGGGACACCAGAAATGAGCTTCACACACTGTACCCATGTGGGGAATCGAACCCGAGTCTTCGGCGTGACGACGAGCGAACTCTTTAAACACTAGGCTACCCCACCGCCCCTAACGACCAATGAAGTGATTGATATTATGAACGACTAGCTATATATATGCTTTGACAGTGTCACATTTCAAGTCCAATGGTAGTCACTAATGCTCAATTCAATAAAAATATGAATTGGAATCGGGTTGTCTGGAGTGATGAATCAAGATTTACCCACAGATTCGCTGATGGTAGGATGAGAGTATGGAGGCGACGCCGTGAACGTTATGTTCAGTGTTGTGTACAGGAAGTTGACAGATTTGGGGGCGGAAGTGTCATGGTTTGAGATGCTTTCTGTGTGATTGCCCGTTCCCGACGTCTGGTTATCCGTGGGAACCTTATTGCTGCAGTTTACAGCGACCAGGTGTTAGCCCCCCAACTTATTGCATTCATGCCAGCACATGGTCCAGGTCTACACTTTCAACATGACAATACCAGACCCCATACAGCCAACATGACCAGGAATTACCTGCAGAACGCAGGAATCAACGTTCTTGACTGGCCGTCAAGGTCACCTGATCTCAATCCAATCGAGCGCATCTGGGATACTCTTGGTACAGGTCTGCGCGCACTCTCCGCGACCAACCAAAGAATTTGCAGAATTTTGGTGCTGCTTTGCAGGAAGAATGGTGCCGACTCCCCAATAATGTGTCTACACGCATCAGACAGCCCATGAGGAGGCGTTGCTTGGCAGTTGTGAACGTACGTGGTGGCCATACACGCTACTGAACGTTTGAAACATCTGATATAATTTCTTGTGACTTGACACTTTGTTGATTACGCCTTTTATTGATAAATTCTGTAACCACATGGAGCTGATTTTTGGCATTGTGATTATTCTCAGGTCATCCTATCGACCTTAAAGGTCACATGCAACCAAAAATTCAAACATAATTAAAACACAATTATCACTTATTCATGACACATAATATGCATTGCTGATTATGAAAAAACAATTAACAAAATTATAAGCGTATAATCGCAAATCAAAAGTGCAATATTTTGTACTTGGGTTTACCTCCCTCGAAACGAAGCAGCCGGGATACCGAACCCAGTCAGAGCGGGGGGGGGTGTGCACTCAAGTGTAACGGCTGGTTCATTTGCAGATGCCGCCGTCACGGCTCATTGTGTGTGCATATATAGAGATGTTGGGTTTTGGAAATACATGCTCATTTTTTGTGTATAACGTTTTGCAATCAACAGACATCATAACATGTCATGTGTTCAAGTATCACACCTGCCTGTCTGTGAAATTACATAATGTGACAGACCGAACTCGGGCCATAAATCAATGCATTTTGTTTATGGTGTATAGCCTGCTTGGTGTTAAGTTCAAATTGCATGTGGTCAGTGATCGCAGTTGTGTATTGAATATTGTCATTAGCAGACAGGCAGGCAGACGCACAGGTGTCAATAAAACAAGACATTGAGTTTTGTCTGTGACAACGACATATCTATATCACAGTTAGAAATTCTGTCAAGGCTAAATAATGACATTGCTTTTAAGTATCGAACTGAGAAAGTTACTCGGTAAGAAGAACGTGTGGTGAAATAGACAAATGAAATTATATAAACAGTTTGTTTAGTGTCATAACATATATAAAGCCCGCCTCTGTGAGATATCAACAAAACATTATGAAAATAGCTCACACCAAAGCTTTCACCGAGTATTCACCAGACAGCCCGCTTCCAAGTTGCGCGAACCTATTTCACTACGCACATGCTATGAGCGCAGCCCAGCTGTTGAAACCCGTTTTCCCCCGAAATTTCGGGGGAAGATTAGTGAATCGTTTGAACTCCGATTTCGCGCGGTTTTTTTTCATCGCGTTATTTTTCAACTTTATAAGTTGAATTTGCATTTTCGATGATTTATTTTGGGAAGTCCATACCGAAAGGTATCAGAATCTGCAAAGTTGTGTTTTATGTTGCATGGGACCTTTAACCAATAAACGATAACCTCTATACCACATTCTTGTGTCCTTTCTTTTGTATATTATTTAATATATGGTTGTGAAGTTTCTAGTTTGACTCAGTATACTTGCAACGTAGAGGAACTGGATTTCAGTTGCATCAGATACGATTCAGATTTTCAACCAATTCCTTTGTCGTGTATTAAGGCTCAATTTATTTATTTTTTAATTTGTTCAATATATCATACTTACAGGATGATTTAACCAGTAGTATTAATATCACGACGACTAAAGAAGGTATTTTAGGGACGCTTCACACATTATTGCATTTCCGGGATAACTCTCATGGCCTGAAAACCTGCTGATAGATCCGGCTACAAACATTTAAACGTTTCCATGACCACGCGTGAGTTAGATAAATGTCATAAACCTATTTGTGTATTCATTTTGTGTGTGCTTGCGTGTTAGTGCTAGTGTGTTGAAGTGTCTGTGTGCGACTGAATGGGCGTGGCGTGGTTTGAAATCCGAGAACAGCGATGGGGTCCTAAACTACTGCAATACAGCAGAGATCCATATAGATCTAATATATTATTATATTGTCTCGGATTATATGGTCTCTGAGTAGGACGTACCCCATCACGACTCTAGGGCGTATAGAACTGTTAGATTATTAGAAAGAGCTAGATTCTATCTCATGGACGCGATGTTGGGTCATGTCTTTTGATCGTAGGACGTACCCCATCATCACCCTCGAGCAGCAGGATCTTGAGTGAGTTGGGTCCACTGCTGCTTTGAACAATACATCATTCACGTCACAGCATGTCAGCATGATATAAAAATAAAGCCCCAGTTCCATCCCAGATAGCATTTGGACGTTGGCCCAACGTTGGCAACATTGGCAATGTTAGCAAAACCATTGCCAACGTTGGGCCAACGTCTGAATGCTATCTGGGATGATGTTTACTTGAGTTAAACCACTAGGGAAGTATATGTCCATTGTTCTTGAAGTGTTTTATTAGCATAACTGAATAACTGCCCTAGGGCAATTATTTCTATTTAAAAACAATAAAATTGTATTCATTTTGATAATCTTAATCATGCCTAATACACTACATGCGTAATAAATAAGTATGCCCTCTTAGTGTAAGCCGTTTAATCACCCTCACTATGGTGGTTATTTGAATAAACTCTGATCGGGCTAAAGCCCTGGCAGAGTTTATTTAATAACTACCTTGTAAGGGTGATTAACCTATACTAAAACACAGGTATAAGTACTAATGAACCCACAATTATGAACCGGGCAAACCAGGACTCAAACACAGACATCTTAGAGCAACAAATATGTGGCTTAGACAAATGGGCCACCCAGCCCCATGAGGATTGTGATTAAAGATGGCTGCATCCACATGTTAAATGTTCAGTGTATGAAATATTTGGAACTGTTTTGTATTCATCAATGTTTAATGGAAGGTCAGTCAGTGTTGTGTTGTTATGTTTTAAAAAACTGCAAGGGTTTCTTAATTCATACAACATGGTAATCAGTATTTGAAATTTATACATCTCCTTTTGCTAGAAGGATGGTAATTGTGTCTCCCGACACTCTATAGCTTCCTCATCTAGTTTAATAAGTAGTATGTTAAAGTTGGGTTGATTTTGTCAGATGAAGAGATGATACAAATTAAGTCAGTGGTATATTTACCTGTCAAAAAGGGAATGGTTTGGGGTGAGTTGGATGTGCAAATGGAGTTGATATGTTTATGAGAAGGACAATATTGATTTCAGTTCTGATATTATTTCTGATCCTAGCAGACACCTAGCACCGAACATGTCAACAAGGAGGAGGAGGCAGCAAAACAAGAAGTCGGTTGGTGCACCTACAGCTCCCAAAGTCCTAAAAACAGATGTTGAGGAACTTACTTCAATTGCAGGACCATCTGCAGATGGAGGCTCAGGAGAAAAACACAAACCCTGTCAGAATTCCAAACTTTCCAAATTAACATCTAAATTAACTAAAGCTGATTCAGCAGAAACTGGTGCTGACATAAATTCTGAAGACAAAAGCAGTCCCTACTTTTCCAAAGTCAAAAGTCCTGAAGAACTGGATGATTCATCAGTCGAGGACTTGGGAGAGGCTGCGCAGCCAAAGCGACTGTCTAGAGCATTTTATGAGCAGTCATGTGAGGATCTAGGTAAAGCTCTGCTAGGGCAGGTACTTGTGCGAATTCACAACGGTGAGAGATTAACTGGAAGGATAGTTGAAACCGAGTCTTATCTTGGCCGGAGAGATAAGGCTGCTCATTCCTACAAGGGAAAGACAGACCGAAACTCTGCCATGTTCATGGATCCTGGCACAGCCTACGTCTACAACATCTATGGAATGTACTGTTGCATGAACATATCAAGTCAAGGTAATGTGTACATTACATGGGAATTTGTGAAAGAACTGAAAAATATTGTCATCATTTTCAGCAAAATGTTTTATGTTTATTTTGTATAGGGAATATTGTTTACATTGGTATGTTGTAAAATTATCAGGTACATTACCTAAAGTAACTTAGATCAATGATTTGAACAACTTTACTTTACCCATACATACAGATATTGTGCCTGAAGACTAATAACCATATTATGGTTAAATGTAAGATTCAAACCCACCAGCGGTTCTTGACAAAAAAGTTGACCTGCTGTACCCCTACAGTAGGTGAGTAAAGAATATGAGAATCCAATATTTGGCCACAAGTCTACAGAAATGTCAATGAAAATTTAGGATTTAGATTTTAGCAAATATTAATATGACATAAAGCTATCTTATTATTGTAACTAAAACATTACTTTGCAAAGTGTTTTTCATAGATAGCAGTATTAATAAAAAGAAAAAAAGTAGATAGGTTTACATTATTGTTTTGAATGCAGTGCAGGACCCTGAGCACTTCATCAGCCATTTCTACCCATTTCAGGAGAGGGTGAGGCTGTCCTATTGCGATCCCTGGAGCCTGTGGAGGGCAAGGGTGTGATGAGCACCATTAGAGCAGCTAACCGTAAGAAGGATAGTCCCTGCAAACCAATGAAAGACCATGACCTCTGTAATGGTCCTTCCAAGCTGACCCAGGCACTGAAGATTGACAAGGCATCGACCAATCAGGTGGATCTTCTTTCCCATGATGCCATCTGGCTGGAAGAAGGGGAGAAGGTGCCAGCAGCTAAAATGGTGGTCAGCAAGCGGATAAACATCAACTATGCTGAGGAGTGGAAGGATAAACCGCTGAGATTCTACGAACTGGGAAATCGGTGTGTTAGTGTTAGGGACAAGGAGGCTGAAAAACTGATGAAGGACAGTTAGTTGAGACGACCAAATTTCATCCATTTTGTTATCAGCTAGACATATGATTTTTAGATGGAAACATTGAACTGATCAACTCTTGTTGATGTAATTGAATGAGTAGGTATATTTATTAGTAATACGCAGCTGATGGAGTGTAGACATTTCAACCCCTGTGTTTGTAGGATGAAATGTGTCCAGAAATATTCAATATGAAATGAATCAGATGCAAGTGTGTGATATCTGTTACAACTAGATACAGACACATTTTAAGACCGCATTCAGGGAGTGAGTGAGTGGTATTTCAGTTATATCAAGGAATTTCAAATTGACATAAGTCATAGTCACTTCTACTTTGATGAAACATGTATGGGTATCTTGTATTGTGCTCAGGTAGATCCAACCAACAAACCTCAGCTTATACATTGTTGTGTGAAACTCATCAAGTCATCCCTTTGATGAACTTGTACACTGGGCATACTACACTACTCAGAAGAAGTTAAGCACCACCATTTATATTACTATTGTTAATCTGTCCTTAACCTTTTTTGAGTAGTATAGATATTGTTTCAATCTTAATTGTTATGAATGATTTAATTATTGTATGTTGGAATATATTTTAGGAAAATAAACAAATCAACATTATTCTTTTATTCATATCACAGATTGTATGATCTCTGAAATTACATGACATAATTATACAGAAACAGTTCGGATAACATTTCTTAATATCTCTTGTATAAGCTTAAAACCTTGTCTCATGTAATTTTTACGTGGCATTCCAAACAAAAGCCCACCCTTGATTTGGTCGACTGAATTCAATTCTAACCCGCAAGATCGTCCCTGTCCAACAGATCATGGTAGAAGTTTGTCTGGGATAATTACGATTCAGAATTATTCATATAATGACCACTCCTGCCAGCAGAAATATGTCACTAGTTACCATTAACTGTAAGACTGACTGACTGAGTTTGGTTTTACGCCGCTTTTAGCAATATTCCAGCAACATCACGGCGGGGGACACCAGAAATGGGCTTCACAGATTGTACCAATGTGGGGATTCGAACTCGGGTCTTCAGCGTGACAAGCTAACACTTTGACCACTAGGCTACCCCACCGCCCCATTAACTGTAAGAGAGAATACAGAAAGAGCTGTTACTATGTAAAACAGGGAATTAACTGATGCTACACTTGGTAGAAAAGCTGAGAATGCACAGGGATGCATGTGTGAAGTGGGCACTATGCTTACAAAGGATGATCCTAAGAATGACATTTTGACTGCTTGTTTGTTGTTTAATGATGCATCCAGAAACAATTACAGCTTTACAATACTGGCCTGGATATAATTAAGTCTGGACCACTACATCAGGGTACAATGAACCATGATTGAAGAACTCACCATGCCTCGCCACCTGATTATTGAAATTCCCTCTTGTGACCAGGATAGATTTTTAGGGATTAATTCTAACCCTGCATCCTCATGTGTTGTCAGACTGAGGAATACAAGTGAGGGTCATCGTGCATGAATGTGTTTTGTGAGCTCATTGCTTGTCACACTGTTTGGCGATGGGGAGCTGTCATTGCAGATGAATGTTTGGGGAAGGTCATCACATATGACAGTGTTTAGTGAGGTCATCGCTCATCACAGTATTTGGTGGTGCAGAGCTGTCATTGCAGATGAATGTTTGGGGAAGGTCATCACATATGACAGTGTTTAGTGAGGTCATCGCTCATCGCAGTGTTTGGTGGTGCGGAGCTGTCATTGATTTCTTTTTTATTATTATCAGTTTTTTTAAAACTCAAATGAGTTATTACCTATAGGGGCAGCATGTAGTATGGTCTCTGAGCCCCATGTCATAAATGACTGTTTCCAATGGTTTACCATTTCTGAGACCTTATCACACTGAAAAAGACAATGCCAATATGAACATGATGACCCGAAAGAGGATTAACCATCAAGTTCACAATAGCCGTCAGCCTGTGTATCTGTGTAGTTTGGTAAACATGTTTCAAAGATTAAAGTGTCCCGATCTATTTCACATAATGGTAAGGGACAAAAATGAGTCCAGTCAATAATATGTTAAATAGTATTCAATAATGCTGCTTGTACCACAGACTTAAGGTAAGTATGTTCACAAGTCAGGATGGCACATTTGTGAGGTGTTTGTGGGAAGCTTTTGAGGAGACACAGTTCAACAGTTTGAGATATGGAGTCACTGCACATAACTGTTCTCAACATTCACTAGAGTTGTTTTAAAGCTTTGTTTGGATACCTAGATTTAGGAGTGAGTGAATATAGTTTTACGCCGCTTTCAGCAATATTCCAGCAACATCATGGCGAGGCACACGAAATGGCCGTCACACATTGTACCCATGTGGGGAATCGAACCCAGGCCTTTGGCGTGACAAGCAAACGCTTTAACCACTAGGCCACCCCCTGGATTTAGGAAATGTTTCAAGAGTCTGATTTGGAGCAACAATATATGTGTCCCTATGATGCCATATACATGTATTGGGTAGTTCTTCTCTGTGTTAGGTTGGACATCCAACAGTCATAAGAACAGGGCACTGGTAACTGGCATTGTGCATTCAGGGCACTGGTAATTGGCATTGTGCATTCAGGGCACTGGTTAAAAGTAAGTGAAGGATATCTGATGTCAACATCACAGGACCTGGACGCATTGCAGTCATTACACAACATTCCGGTCTTCAACTGACGATCAGGTGCCATACACTGGGTAGTTGAGCTCAATGTCTGGATGGGCAATAATAGTTCCTGGAATGATGTCATGTTTCAACAGTCTGAGATCCATGCAGTCAGTGACTTCTTGTGACAATGCAATATGGTGTAGTGGTTGTAGTCTCCATAATCACGCATTCAGCATGTTAAGAAAAATTCAAGCCATATCACAACTGCCATAGATAATCCAGTCCAGAACAGTCAGTCTGGGTATAGTGATACACAATCAACTGTGTTCATTCAGAACACTCACTGAGCTCACAGTCACCTCAAGGACAAGCATATGTTGCAGGGGACTTGTTGTAACCCTGGCAAGGTAAGTGGTCTTCTTTACCATGAACAGCCCCATCTGAATCACCCAGCATAGAAGGCAGTGGCTGGGTCCTGGTGACTACACAGTATGAGCACCTCTTTAAACTTGTCCAGAAGCGTTATGAGCTGGGATCGTCTCAGGTTCTCAAAGTACATGATTTCCTCCAGGTGGTATTGGCCTTTAAAGTATGGACATAATCTGAAACATAAGTAATATGCATACGTATATATACATCAATATACAGACCCTTATTCCTGGTGTATCGTGAAAGCAGTGACAAAAGAAAAATGAACCCCAAATTGTTTCCACAAGCAGTAACACTAATGTACATAGAAACTCCTCTTCCAAGAGGGCATGATCCATATAAACTTAAGGTTGTTTGAAATTGGAAATTTTAACTATAAATTGTATAATTATATACTTATCCTATCTCACGACTTGCACCTCTCTCTCTTCATTCGACCATGAGTGGAAACAAATTAAACTTTGCTCCAGGCCTTCCTTGTCCCTGTCCCCGTGCTGTGCATGCCTTCCTGCCTTAGCCATGCTCACTAGGCCGTGACAGCACGTGGCATATGCAGTCCTCACCCACGTGATCACCTTCCATACTCATTTCTCTTTCTTGTCGCTCGATCGTGAGATAGGATAAGTTTAAAAATTTAGTCCTTTTTATTAATATTAACAAAAAGATATAACCTTTATGTTCAGAGTGGTTATCTTATTAAAATCCTAACTTCATACCTTGCAAAAACTTTAAGATCTTCAGTGTTTTTGGCGGCGGGACATTTCAAGATGGCTGCTTTCACCTCCGGTCTGACAACCGAGAGGAGTGAGTCCTGCAGTCTCCACTGAGCCTTGGTCTCCTCGGTGATGACCGTCCCATCACTTGTCATCTCTCCCACAGATGGAGACTTGGATAACTGACTCAGTTGCTGGGCCCCAGTAGCTGGTCCAATACTCTCATCACTGTTAACTGAAACAAAACCAAAAAGGTACTGACACTGGATTTCAGTGAAATTAGCATTGCCTGCTGGACCAAGCAGTTTGACTCCAAGGGCTTGATCATGCCCACCCTGTCATGTTGGTCACCTTTTTGGACTGCTGAAGATCAATTCTAACCCAGATCTTTATGGGCCCAATTTGTTACTACTACTTGTTATCAAGCATTGATTTGTCTGGAGTGGAGCTTAGTCCATCACAGGTGAGGTGAGGTGAAATTGGGTTTATCGTCGTGCTTGAGAATATTTCGCTCATATGACGACTTGCATGCGTGTGTATGTGTATGTGCGTCTGCTTGTACTAGCCCAGACTTAAGCTGGTTTTATAGCGCTAGCCCACTGAGATACCATGCCGCAGTGAAGCATGAATACCCCACTCAGACACATTATACTGACTCCGAGCCGACCAGTCCTTGTTGTACCCATTAATGCTGAGCGCCAGGCAGGGACCAACAAGTCCCATATTTTAACGTCTTTTGGTATGACGCGGTCGGGGATTGAACCCGCGACCTTCCGCTCTCTGGGCGGACGCTCTAACCACTACACCACGGAGGCGGTTAGTCCATCACAGACCACAACGATACATGATACATATCACACAAAACAGTAAGTAATTGAGTTAGGGTCAGACAAATCTAAGATTAATGTAATATGGTAGAATAATAATGTTTTTAGTGTGGATTTGGCACATTATGTATTACAGATTAAAATACAAATCAGCACAGATAGGTTGGGTGGCCCTGGCACAGTCAGGCTGGTAAGACACTCAGTTCATCAGCTCAAGACACCTTGCCCACTCTACATGCAGTCCAGATGCGAATGAGACTTCTTCCAGGAAGAGATGCCCAGTCAAACCCACCAAGAACTTCCAGGTAATATCGAGACTCACAAACACTGCAGCCTTTTGAATTACCCACAGTGTCCTGAGGGCTGTGCTCCCAGTGGAGAGCAAAGACACACTCATGATCTGCATCAAGTAATCAGGAAGTACCAAATATTATGATATTATGATTATTACTATTGTCTCCAGCACCTGTAAAAACCTCTAGACCCCACTCTCATCAGAATGTGATCTACCTACCTGAAGCAATGTCAGACGGGCTGGGAGGGCGGTTGAGACCAGAATCCTCCAGGAAATATGACAGCCATGATTCCTCCTCTACCTTGGGCAGCTCGCTGACAGATTGAAGGTTGATGTCCTGTGTCCACTCCGTCCGCGGTACGGGAGGAACGAGGAATATGTACATGTGCAGCTGCATCAGCAGGCGATGACGTAGCATCCACACAACCTTCTGCACTCTTATGGCCTGGAAACAAAAGCATCGTTGGATCAATAACATTCCTGATATCTCAGGACTGGCTGCATTTTCTAATAATGACCAGTTTGAAACTGTACATGATCACAGTCAATGTTACAAGAGGTTACAAAAGCTCACCCATATGCATAACACAACAATTGCGAATTGGTATGTGCTTACCTTCCTATTTGGGCTAAATCCCACGCTACCCTATATGTACGTATATGTACAATATGTTATTTTTCCTTATCCTGACTCATGCTCTTTTGCTTGTCTTCTTCTTCTTGCGAACATAGTGGAACACTTGTATCTCCCTAATTGAAGCTCCCTTCAATGTAAAATCACTAATTAGTACTCACCAAGAGTTGCCTCCCTCTTCCAAATGCGCGGGAAAGGAAGCGCCACCTCTTCCCTCATGTTTCACTCTCTCCTTCTTCGCCCAGTGAGCAGGATGTGAGAGCGCCTGTGTCTCCCTACACACTATATCCTTTGATTATTCTTAGTTAGTTACCTCTTGTAGTCATCTAGAGAGGTTTAGCTAGTATCCTTCAACAATTATGTATTGATATTTATTCGTATTTCTGCTGTTTATTCACGGGACGCCATGACTGTTCAGCAGTTTGCGTTGATGAAAATCTGTACTGTTTGTAGGTTACGTTTTTCTGCTGCTGATCCGCATTTAATATGCCCTAGCTGTACTGCACCATGTGCATTTTCTTCACGTTGCAGTTACTGTAATAATTTGTCTCACTCTGCATTTAACAAATATTATCTTTGCGTCTTGAGACGCGCAGCAGATAGGTCACGTAAACAGAGCCTAGCCATGGCAGATACTTTGGAACCCCTAGCCAGTCAACTGCTGTCGGACGACCCCCTCCCGTCTGGTGTTCCGCTAGAGTTACCCTCGGTGGAGAGGCGTGGGACGCAGTCCGCCATCTCCAAGAAGCGTCCTGCATCCCCAGACATCCCGTCGTCGCAGCCGAAGACTAAGAGGGCTTCCTATTCGTCACAACGCAGACTCCGTACCCCCAGGGCAGCGTCTACCTCCAAGGGGAAACCAGCGAAGTCTACTTTCTCAGCCGAGATTGTTCCCGCCGCAGAACTGGGCCTGTATGATGATCAGCCGATCATCATACCTGATGTACGCCACAAGAAATGACCGGTGTCGGCAACAGTGACGTCAGCGCAGATCTACACGCAGCCTGATGTACCAACGCTGATGTCTGACAATCTTCCTGAGGGTCCCGTCGCTACCAACGCAGATAGGGCACCAACAACATCTTCGCAGACCGTCCCAGACGACTTGGTTCTACACATTATGAAGATGATGGAAGACCGCTATGGACTGGAGAGACAACCAGCCCAGAGGCCGAGCCTTCGCGAAGGCTCCAACGTAGACGTCACCCCCGAGGGACCCCCCGACAACGAAGCGGCCGCTATCAAGTCATCGCTGGGGAACCCACCTGCGCGAAGGACGTCACAGCCCACCTCTGCAAAGGACCCACATGTCCAGCTTTCGCGAAGGACAGCTAGATCGTCACTTGCCTCGGACTCCGATGATCAACACTCATGAAGAGGTTCGCGAAGGAAGATCCTCTCATCCCCGGACTCTGACTCGGACCCCCAGCCTTCGCGAAGGTCAAGTCGTCACTCCCCAAGACCGGACTCAGATGAAGCTTCGCGAAGGGCACCGATTACATGCTCCAAGTCATCTTCGTCTACAAGGTCTAGGGATTCCCCAAGAGCTTCGCGAAGCTATCAACGTTCACCACATAGATCTCCGCGAAGGTCACCATATAGACGCAGCTCACCAGGCCGTTCTCCACGACGATCTCCTCGCCGGTCTCCACGTCGATCACCTCGTCGTTCACCTCGCCGATCTCCTCACAGGTCACCACGTCGATCTCCTCACAGGTCATCACACCGTTCGCCTCACAAGTCTTCACGGAAGTCCCCAGACAGGTCTCCGTTGACGTCACCCTGCACAGCTGTAGAAGTATACAGGTCTCCACCTCAGTCACCATCGGAAGAGCATCAACCTCTTATTAGCGATCCTGTTACAGAAGATGATGGAGGCATCATATTCTCCGACGCAGAAATACGCTACTGGATGGTTAACAACCTGGACCTAGCTTCACCTTCCAAGAACGGTAACCCGGCCCACACTTATCTCATGAGGGAGGACGATGCAGACACCATCACCCTACCTCCGATCGACCCGATAGCAACGGTCTCCCAGAATCTGGACACAGCCTTCCATAAAGCCACTAAAGCCCAGGTGCCACACTTACCACAGTTCAACGCCAAAAAGTTCTCAACCCATAATATGGACCCATTTTTCAAGGCACAAGATATCGACGATAACTTCAAAGTAATCAACGATGCCAAGAATAAGACCTACAAGATAGACGACCGCAAGCTGGTGCAGATCGAAACCATGGAGAATGTTCTTCGGCCTTAACAGATCAAGAACGATTAATGAAACTCTCATCACCAGATTTCGAGATTCTACATCAGAAGATGACAGAATGATTTACTCGGCCCTCCTTATGCAGAAGAAGGACCAGCAGTTCTTAACGGGTCATCTTACATCAGTCTCCGCAGCGCTAACTTTGGCTCGTCGTCAAGGTCTCCTCGCTTCCTGTAGTTGGGGTGAACAGTTTACATCTCCACTCTACACAGCCCCGTGGTCTTTGCCATCTATCTTCGATGGAGGAATAGATAAAGTCTCTAAAGAAGTCACCAAGGATTCAAGGGAAGTCCTTATGATAAAGTCGATGGACACGCTAGCCAGCGTCATCAGGCAGACATCACAGAGATATTCAGGAAGATCTAAGTTTACTGGCTTACAGAAAGCATGGGACAGGAAGATGGCCACCTCAAGAGGAAAAGATTCTTTTCGTCGCCCATACGGAAACTACAGGGGAGGATCTGGAAGAGGCAGGGCACCCAGAGGTTCCCGCAACTATAAACAATGAAAGGCGGGTTCGGAACGACTGGAGCCTTCCACCCCCAGCCGTTCCAGTACAACCATCACAAGTGGGTGGACGCCTTCAACTGCACTGGGAGAACTGGGGAATTCTACAAGACCCATATGTCTCCAACATCCTACATCACGGATATCGAATCCAACTACAGGCCACGCCTCCGCTTACAGTCAACCCTCACAAGTTCGACTTTCAGGCGAAACAACTACCAAAGTTACGAGAAGCTGTTGCATCGCTACTAACCAAGCAGGCCATAGAAGTACTGGATCAAGTAAACATCGAACCAGGCTTCTACTCCCCAGTTTTCTTAGTGCCCAAGAAAAACTCCAAGGAAAAGTTCCGACTCATCTACAACATGAGCACGCTCAACAGAGATTATCTCATAAACCGCCAACGCTTCGCATGATACATCTACCTCAACTACTGGCACCTAGTTAGTCCCATGGACTACATGGCCAGTATAGATCTGCAGGATGCGTATCTACATATCCGCATACATCCCGAATCCAGGAAATACCTACGGTTTACACTAGACGGGCTGCATTATCAATAGAGAGTACTCCCATTTGGAATATCATCGGCCCCCTGGTTATTCACAAGAGTAACAAAACCCATCGTCACTTACCTACATCGTCTAGGGCTATGCAGTGCGTTCTACCTCGACGACGGGATTCAAGTAGATCAAGATCCACAGCGTCTCAAACTACAGTTAAACTTCATCATCAAGCTACTAACACAGCTAGGGTGGTTAGTAAATCTACTCAAGTCGGACCTAGAACCTACGCAAGATCTGCAATTTCTAGGCATTCGATTTATCACGACACAGAACCATATCGTCGTACCAGAGGACCGATGGCTCAAGATCCAACAGACCATCCCACAAGCCTTACTCTCTCCGCTACCACTACGACAATGGCAGAGTCTGTTGGGTCTCCTCACGCCAGCCCAAGACATGACAGTCAGAGGCAGACTACAGTTTACGTCCGTTACAGGTCCTCATCAACGCCATCTCGACGACCTACAACCATTCAGTCTACCGAAGCACATCAGACCTCATCTACTATGGTGGACCAGGAGGTCGAATGTCTGCGAAGGCATCTATTTAACAGAGCCGGAATTCAAAACCCATCTCTATGTAGACGCGTCGCTCCAGGGTTGGGGAGCTCATCTCGCCAACCGGACGGCATCAGGGTTATGGAGCCAGCAAGAGAGCAAGCTGCACATAAACATGCTAGAAATGAAAGCAGTAATCAACGCCCTAATACATTGGAGCACCATTCTACAGAATGCGCATCTGATGATTCACACCGACAACTCAACAGTGGCGTTTTATATAAACAAACAAGGCTCAACGAGATCATTGAACCTATTGACTCTATGCTTTCAACTGTTTGATCTAATAGACGATCTCAGCTTACATGTCAGAGCATGTCACATTCCGTGAGCCAAGAATGTTCTAGCAGACGCACTCTCTCTGCCACATCTACAGTCGCCGACAGAATCGATGCTCCGTAAAGAAATCTTTGCACAAATTATCCAGGAAATATTAGCTCCGCTAGTAGACCTATTCGCCACTCGCTTCAACAATCAGCTAACGACATTCGTATCACCAGTCCCGGATCCATAAGCATGGGCAACGGACGCACTAAGCATATCCTGGGAAGGCCTCAACGCGACGCAGCGCTTCCACCGCCAGCTTAATTCCACAGGTGTTACAGAAAATCAGACAAACTCAGAGCCTCCAACTGATTTTGTCGCACCCTACTGGCTAGCGAGAACGTGGTTTCCATTCTAATTCAAGAAATCGGACAACCAACACTACAACTTCCAAAGCCGAATCTACTAGTACATCCTCACACCAAACAAGCATCGAAACCCAGAAGCATTCCAACTTCACGATATGGACTGTATTAAAGTGTGTCTAAACAAGAGAGGTTATTCAGCCAGAGCTGCAAAAGCAGTCACGCTTTGCTTTACGCTAATTCTACATGCAACTTGTATGACGACAAGTGGCACAGTTTT